CAGAACTCTGACAGAACACTGACAGAACACTGAGCGAACACTGAGCGAACACTGACAGAACGGTGACAGCGGAGGACTGAGCAGATGGAAACCCGCCGCCCTGAAACACCGAACAGGAAGAAAAGAAGCAGAAGAAGTGAAGCGGCGGCAGCAGGACGTCTGTCCGTCTGGCGGAGCTCCGGCTCCGGCTGCTGAGACTCGGGCTGTCCGCTCACCTGTGGAAGTAGTGCAGCATGAAGCTGCCGAGCAGCAGCAGCCTCCTCCCGGCGTCCCGCTGCTCGGCGTCCCGCTGCCCGGGGAGCAGCAGCAGCAGCAGCGGCAGCAGGAAGGACGGAACCTCCTGCAGGAACCAGCCCAGCCGGGCCGGGCAGCAGCGGCTGTTCGCCGACACGTAGCGTCCGTACAGAGCCCCGGTCCGGGTCTGGTGCCGCAGGTAGAGTCCGCCCCCGACGATCAGAGCCCAGCTCAGGAAGGACACGGTGGCCTCCCGGCACTCCATCCTCCGGCGTCTGAGCTCCGGGAGGAGCCGCCCGGAGGGAGGAGCTGCGTCGGGCCGCTGCGTGTTGTCATGTCGTGGGTCGGATGTTCCTGGACCCACGACATCAGGTGGTCCTGAGTCAGAACATTCCGGAGAGTCCAGCTGCTGCCGCTCACAGACTTCAGTGTGACTTCATGTCCACGGGTTGGATCCACCCAGACTGCTCAGAGCTGTGTGTCTACACACAGACACACACAGACACACACAGACACACAACCCACTACACACAGACACACACAGACACACAACTCACTACACACAACCCACACAGACACACAACCCACACAAAGGGCACACCGGGTTCTGGACCCAGTGTGCCGCTCCACAGTCTCCCAGTACGATGAGGAGGACGTTGTTATTATTCCAGACTGAGCAGAACCAGAACGTTACGTTAGAACATCAGTGGATCAACTCATGAGTGACTAGACAGAACCAGAACTGGACCTCTTCATGTTCTCCCGGTCCCTGACAGTTCTGTTGGGTTCTGTTCGTCATGACGACCCGATGCAGTGAGAACTCACAAAGAAACAACAACAACACAACAATAACAACACAATAATAACAACACAACAACAACTACTTCAACACGTCTCAAATGGGGGGAGGACCATGAGCGGGATTCGGACTCATGACCTATGGGTCGGGGACTACAGCCCCCCGGCAGAACCACTGTGACGTCCAGAACTTGAGCCGGATCAGAGCTTCTTCCTGTATTTGCTGCTCAGCTCTTGAAGCTCAATGAGAGGAGCTTCAGAAGGTCTGGCTGCTGCTTATGGACCAACTCATTCACTGTTGTTGTTGTTGTTGTTGTTGTTGTTGTTGTTGTTGTTGTTGTTGTGGGTCGCTGTCCACAGAACAACGTAACATTCTGATATTCACTTTGACTATTTCCTACATTTCACTGTAAAAATCTGGTTTTATTTGTCATGAACAGGTTTTGATGGGAGGTGTGGTTCCAGCTCCACCCTACAGCTGTTAGTGTGACTCCTATGACTGGACTGGATCAGAACATGGAGCTCCGTCCTCTGTGCAGGACGTGGTGTCGGTTCTGTCCCCTCAGCGTGGGGCCTCAGACCCTCCTTTAGTGTTGAAGTCAGAAATATCTGCTTCAATTCCAAACGTTTGGTTTTTATTCTAAAAGTACCTGTCAGGTCTTTTACTGTGTGTTTCAGTTGGTTGGTTGGTTAGTTGGTTCATGTTATGAGCAGACGCAGTGAGGCCGGCTGCTGTCGCCCCCTGCCGGCGGCTGCCGGCGCTGCTCCTCCCTCCAGCGGCTGTTTCTATTCCCGGAGACGCCGCCTCCATTTTAGCACCGACACCCGGCGGAGCAGCAGCGGCTCGCAGCACTCAGCGGCCGGACGAGGAACGCGCTCCTGCGGCGGGACTGCGGCGGGACTGTGGCTCGGACCCCGGCGGCGCTTTAATCGGCCTCAATCAGCCTTTTCTGCGGGATGGCGTCGCTGCGGCAGGACGCGGCCGAGGCGGCGGAGGATTTGTGAGGATTTGGAGGCTCGTCCTGCGCGCTGAGACTCGTCGTCGAGCGGAGGAGAGGAGGCGGCGGCTCGGTTTCGGATGGTCAGGTACCGGCTTTATTCTAATCGGCCTTATGTGCGCGGCCCGCCTGCTCCCGGCCATCGTAAGGCGGCTTTGTGTGATCTCCTGAGCCGCTCGCTAGGCCGCTGCTGCAGCCTCTCCGGCGGCCTGTCGGCGGCGGCAGCGGCTCGCTGCTTCCACCCGGACAGCATCCATCCGGCCCGGCTGCGTGGGGAGGGGGGGCCGCTTACATAATGAGTGCGCAGAGGACACCGAGCTGTCCGGCCGTCTGTCCGTCCGTCCGGAGGCCCGCTGCCGGCCTGTGTTTCCCTCGGCTCCCGGTGTTCTCTCCGGTTCTCCTCCCGGCTGCTCCCGGTGCTGCGATGGCGCACATTAGCGGTTATTTTCGGGCTTTGTGTCCGGACGCATGCTCGGAGACGGCGGGGGCCGGACGGGATGAGGCGGGGGGCTGCAGGTGCAGCGGACCCCGGACAGGTTCACTGAGATGAGCCGCAGACACACACAGGCTGCATGGAGCAGAACCCGGGCCAGCCAGACCCACAACATCATCACACAGACACACAACGCCACCACACAGACTCACAACATCATCACACAGAC